TTATTTATTAATTGAAAGTTTTTTAGAAATAATTGAAAGTTTTATTATAAATGAAGATAGTAAAAATTATTAAATAATCAAAGTATATTATCATTAAAATAAATATTTTTCTTTCATGATTAAATTAGGTGGCATATTAGGTGTCAAAAAAATAAATAATAGGTGAAGAAAGTATTTTATTTAAATAAATATAATTAAGCTAACTTCATTTAAATGTATCATGAACAAATAAAAAAGTATAACATCTATTTATGGGTGAAGAAATTGTTTTATTTATTATTTACTTTTTCAATAACATCTATTTATTAATATTTACATTATTATTAAAATAAATAGAATAAAAACTAATTTCATTTTAACATATTTTAAACAAATACTCGTATGAAAGTTATTTAGATGTGAAAAAATTATCTTATTTATTAATTAAAAGTTTTTTATAAATGAAAAGAGTAAAAACTATAGTATTGAATTGGATAGAATAATATCATAAAAATGAATGTTTCTCTTATAATTAAATCTGCCCAAAGATTTCATACCAAAACATTGAATTCACATTTTTGTATCTTAAATTAGGTGACATATTAGCTAGGTTTCAAATTTTTTTTATAGCTGAGGAAAGTATTTTATTTAATAAGTGTCAATATTTAAATAAACATAATCAAACTAATATATGTAAACGTATAATGAACAAATATGAAATTTATTTATAAGTGAGGAGTGTAATTTATTTATTATAAACAATTATTTTTTTAGTAAATTTTATGATTTATTGAATCAAATACATGTATTAAATACGGAGTATATTTTTACGTAAAATTGTGAAAAATAATATTTTATAAAAAATGATTAATTATATGGTAAAAATTTTAATTCTAATATAAGTTTGTATTCATTAGTTCAAAATAAGCAATTATCATTTTCGAAAAATAGTAAAAAAGGTAAAATACTTGAAGAGAGTAATTTGGTTAAATTATCACCTAATATGCCACATGTCAAGTTCTTAGTATGTCACATATCAATTTTTTAATATGTCACATCTCAAATTCTCAGACATAGTGTCTCAAATTTATATATAAAGAATTTTCATTCTTTAATGGGCTTGTTGTAATTGTGATCATTATTCATGCCTTATGGGCTTGTTTTTTCTTTCTTTTGGTCAACCCTCCAGGCAAGAAATCAAAGGGGTCTTTGCTCTTGGAACATGACATGGGGTGATCCATGTAATTTCATATATATATGGATTTAATTAGTTTAGGAAATAATTTGGAGTTGAAATCTAAATTTAAGCTTCATTTGTCGACACATCGTCTTGTGATTTTTGGATTCATACTCATTTTATAGATCTTAATACTTTCACGCATAACATGATTTTCTTTAATGGACCTTGTACTCCGTAAGATTAAGGAGATCCAGCTACACGAACCCATAAAAATATGTGAATAAGGTCTAACTACATTTTACATGTGAACCTTAGGACTATAATAACACAACTATTATTTGTCTAAATACTTTCATATGAAGAATCTTGAAAATTTATAATACTCCCTCCGTCCCAAAAAGTCAGTTACGTTTCGAAAAATTTGCGTCCCTTAAAGTCCTTTACATTTCTATTAAAAAATCACTTTTACCCCTTACTTTTTCATACCCTACCTATCACATCATACCTTTTTCCAAATAATCTACTCATCACATCCTACTTTTACCCATCACATCAAGGGTATTTTTGGAAAGTCAACACCAAAATATCCCTTCTTATTTTACCACTTTAGTCAAAATGTCCCAATCTTTTTGGGACGGAGGGAGTATTATTTACGCATTGAGGTAACTCCTAATACATTTGATGTTTTCTCGCGCCAAAGAAATTATGCACACTCGATATTATTTCTAAGACATGTCTACTTAGATCGCTGCTTTTGGGAGCTCCTATTAAACAGAATCATCATTTGAATCAACACTATTGAATCAACACTATAATGATGACGTTGAGTGACTGCTGATTTATAGTGAATAGTAGCGGAGCGTTACATGAATTACATAAATGATGGTCACAAATTGGAATACATGAATTACAACAAGCCCATTAAGATTTAAGGGATGGAAAGATGGTCAAGATTTGGAGGCACCCGTCCACCTTATTCCTTATTCCCTCGTTTCGTTGTCGGTTTGATACTCCAATATCATTACTGTTAACGAAATCTTCTACGCAATTTCCCCTCATCCAATCCCCCCACCGTCAATCCGTCATTATCCGCGTTAATCTCCCCCTCCCAAGCCACTATAAGTACTGCCCAAAAACCAACTCCAAATTAATCACCATCATCAATCAAAATAAGAAAAAATAACAAGAAGAAGAAGAAAAAATCTTTATTTATTTCCAAGAATATGGGAAAGAAATCTTTCCTTGGGCTCTTCAAAGTGAAGGCAAAGAGACTAAAGAGGGAAGAAGAAGAAGAAGAAGAGGAGGAGAGGGTGGCGGCGCCGGTGGCTAAAGTGTACTACAAAGTACGCCCGAGCGACGAAGACCGCCCCAACTGGGTGGCCGACCCCTTCATCGACGCCAAAGCCACCGCCTTCCTCAAGATCAAACGGCGGCAGTTTCTGGGCATTGCCGAGGACGACGACGACGGCGACAAAGTCTCCTAATGACTTCGTTCATGATCAAACATTCAAACCCACTTTCATTTTGGTTTTGAATATGTAAGATGGATATATATAGATAGTGTAGTAGTTGTAATTTTGCATGTAAATCCAGTCTTGAATAGGGAATATATATGCTCAAGAATGTGTTTTTATATAGCTTATTGTGAAATTTTGATGTTGTAAATATGCACCTTCCAAACTTTTTATCATTGATTAAATAAAGTGATACCATATATGTGTACTTTGTGTGGAGAAAATGAAGAGGATTTGAACCTATTAGACAATTAGAATTATAGTTAATACTCTCTCCGTCCCAAATACTCCTTCCCTTTTTTTCTGTTTTTTTTTAACTGAAGACCTCAATCTAGGTTGCACGGGTTCGGCTGTTTGGTGCCGCCTCCCGCTCCGGAAGCGACGCGGGGACGGATTCGCCGGCGGGGACGGCTATTGGCGAATCGGAAACGCCTTGGTTGAAAAGGATTCGGCGGCTTCTTCGAGCTGGACGGAATCAGGAATTTGGGGCCGTACCCGGTACGAATTGGGCCATTTAATCATATTTTAATTTATTTTTTATTAAATTTTTTATGGGCTAGCCCCCTAGCCCTAGCCCCTAGGTATAGAATTTAGCCCACTAGCCCTAGTCTGCACTACACCCCTACTTCCAGAAGTTGCCGCGAGGTCGCCGTCCACTGTTCCAGAGCTTCCGGTGAGGTCTCCGTCCACAGTTCCAGAGCTTCCGGCGAGGTCGCCGTCCTGGCCTACATCCCTACACGTACCAGCG